TAAAAGATGTATCAACACCATCCCTTTCAAGCTCATCAAGTATTCTTTTGCCATGCGAGTCATCAGCAACCTTAGATATGATCCTTGGATTTAGACCAAGACGAATTTTATCATCCAGGTTTTATCAAAGCATTGCCAGTGTTACCACCTCCTTGAACCTCAAAGCTGGTGCTCCGAATTTTGTCATCCGGGTTGGGGAATGAAGCTACAGCAGCCAGGAAGTCAACACCGGCCATTCCAACACCTCAGACAATGCGATTTTTTGGGAGCGGCGGATTCCACATTTTCAGCTTGAAACTTCAATGAATTTCAGGTAGAATAACAGAGTAGAGTTTTTGATGTTGTGCACCAAGTAGTTGTGGTCAAAGAGAGAGAGAGAGAGAGAGAGAGAGAGAGAGAGAGAGAGAGAGAGAGAGATGGGAAGGATATTTGTGGTCAATATGGAAGGGAGGACTTATAGGTGCAAATTCTACATCACGCCATCTACAACTACAACTGCTATTTACCATAGGAGGGTTCGCCGACCTGCTGCCTTCTCTGCTTCGCCGGAACCAAAAACCACTGGTGAAGGCCCCAACCTCGCCGGATCTGTTGCTGCACCGCCAGATCTGCCTTACTGGTCCGTCGCTGGAAGGAGTTACTGCCTCGTATGCTCGCCACCGTACCCACAACTCGCCGGAGAAGAACCTCGCTGCTACTCACTACCGACGGTTACTACTTAGCCGCCAAGTCTCGCCATCTCGCCTCACAGGAGTCACAGCAGCGCTGGTCTAAACAAGATTAGAAGAATAAGACATAAAAAGACAGAAAAGCCCTTCTAATGCACGGTCAACAAACGGCTTCATTGACGGAGGATCAAAATTGTCCAACGACCAATAACAGTGTCTACAAAGTGGCAATTTTTATTATTGAAGATGAAAAGTGTCAATGTCTCAATAAGTCTAGGACCAAAAATGGCATTAACTCCGGAATACAATACAAGAATTTTTAATTATGGTTATATTATTATTGTGCCTCACGACCATTATATACTAACAGTACTTGAAAAGAAACTAATAATAATAATAATATAAGTGGTAATAATAATATCTAAAAGTAATTAAGTGTTAATAATAATAGTAAGAATAGTAACGTAAGAGTTGTAACATAGAATAAATTGTAATAATTAATAACTATAGTCTAGGATTAAATTTGGAATTGTCAGGAAAGATAAACGACCTCTGGTGAAATTAACTCTTAAATAATTATATATCGATTTAAATATTCTTAATATATTACAACAATTTCATTCCGTGCATCGCACGGGTGAAAATACTAGTTAAAGTAAAAGGTAGACACGGGACTTGACCAAGGGAATCCAATTAAGAAAGTGGAGGTGAGCATAGTAAGTGTAAAAGTAAAATAAATTATTTTTAATGACCTAGCCTCTATAGCATAGTGGTAGTGCATTCGCTTCGTAAGTGAAAGGTCGTGAGTTCAATCCTCACTAGAGGCTTTGCCAATTGACCTTTACTCAAATTGGTTTCTTGAATTTTAATTGCACTCAAAGTAGTCATTCGGCTATCTTATCTTACTTTATATAATAGCAAAATGTTTTTTCCATGTCATTTTCCCGCCTAAATGAAATGGCATCATTCCATGGTATAACCTTAATTGCTAGATTAATTGTGGATGGCTGAATTATTAATCACAATGAGTTTTAAATGTTTTGGGAAAAAAATAAAAAATTATTTATTTACTGTATATAGTTTAATTTATTAATTTTAAATTATGTATGTGTATATATATATATATATATATATATATATATATTTATTTATTTATTTATTTATTTATTTATTTAAATGTAAAATTTTAAAATATCATGTGATATCTAATAACACAATGCTTTATAATATACGCTAATAGTATGTTGTGATGTTTTAATATAACAACCAATTTAGTATTATAAAAAAAAAAGTAACATTTCATAATTAATTTTAATGATTGATGTTTGAATTTTATCAACAATAAAAATACTTAAATTTTATACCGTGCATCGTACGGGACAAATACTAGTTGAATTTTAAGTCAAAATGGTCCTCCCCGTTAGTTTTGGTGTTAAGTGGGTGTTAATTAAAATAGGGGGTAAAACTGGTAATTCAAGATTTTCACTATAGTTAGAGAACTACTTTAAGTGCAATTGAAAGTCAAAGGACTAATTTAAGAAAATGTCATAGTCGGAAGATCATTTTGAGAATTTTCTCTTTATAGTTCAAACATGATTTTGTACTCATTTTGATTAAAAGAGTTGTATCTTGTACTTATTTTCATTTTCTAAATAAACAATCTGTTTACTTTAATTGTTAGCTAGAGTTTTAAAAAAAAAAAAATAGCTTAGAATAATAATTTTGATTATTAGCCTAGTACTTATATATAGTTGTACAAACTAACATTAACTTTGGATTAATTCTTTATTATTCAGGAATGCTTGACATTATGTATTTGGATTTTGATTTTCTATGAGCATAAATAGGCATACATATAATGACAAATCTATTATGAAAAATTACAATCAAATAGACAACAGACATAAACCATTGCTTAAAAAAAAAAGGAAAAAAAAAAGAGAGACAACAGTTAAATACAAACGGATAAGAAAGATAATAAAAACAAAATCATTGTCTACTACGAAAAGACAATATTGGTTTATAGGGGCAGAACAAAAAATGTCGGTCAGTGGAGGTGAAAAATAAAATAAAATAAAAAAACTTCAAAATGTGATAAAAGTATTTATAATAAAATATGAAATGGTTGAAATAAATTGTATATCATCGTTATTAATATTATATATTCATAAATACTTTTTAATTTAATTAGATCAACTCTAAGTATTTTATATTAATTTAAATATGATAATACACAATTAAAACTTTTAGATTATATTAACTAGATAGTTCATAAAAATGGAATTTTCTTTTAAAATATTTTTCATAATTGAATTACAAAACATATATTATATCAATTAATTAATCAATTTGAATAATTTTCACCACGTGTAACATATTAAATTAAAGTGCACTAGGGAAAGATAAAATCAATATAAAACGTTACAAATGTGTTTGTGCAACTATATATAAGTACTAGGCTAATAATCAAAATTATTATTCTAAGTTATTTAAATTAAAGTGCACTAGGGAAAGATAAAATCAATATAAAACTTTACAAATGTGTTTGTGCAACTATATATAAGTACTAGGCTAATAATCAAAATTATTATTCTAAGTTATTTTTAAAAGAATAATTTTCTTGTTAACAATTAAAGTAAAAAATAAAAATAAAAATTGTTTATTTAGAAAATGAAAATAAGTACAAGATTAACCCCTTTTAATCTAAATGAGTACAAAATTATTTTTGAACTATAAAGATAAAATTCTCAAAATGGTCCGCCGACTATGTCATTTTCTCAAATTGGCCATTTGGCTTTTAATTGTATCCAAAATAGTCCTTTGACTATAGTGAAAATCCTGAATTATCAGTTTTACCCCTCATTTTAACACTCACTTAACACCTAAACTAACAGAAAACCATTTTGACTTAAAATTCAATAATCAGAGGATCACTTTGGGTGCAATTAAAAGTCAATGAACCAATTTGAGTAAAGATCATAGTCAAAGGGCGATTTTGGAAATTAACCTAATAAGGTATTAAAAAATATAACTATATGGACAAATTAATAATTCCAACAAATATAAACAAAGTTCTATTATATGATTTTTTTTTTTTTTTAAAAAAAAAAGAGGGGACGGGAGTGTAATTAACCACAATATTATAAGTTTGACTCCATGTGAAAGCGACCTATATGGACCCTCCTAAATGAAGAATGCCATCAAGTAAAGGATTTCTTCTCTAGTCTCCTAGAAAAATTTACTGAGATGACCAACAAGTTTTCTATATCATTTTTTTTAGAATAATTATTTGCTACGGAGTAACTTTTTTTATTCATAAAAATAGTATTAGTAAAGGGAATAATTACTCATACGTATATATTTGTTTGTTTGAACCAATCAGCACTGTCACAGTGCTTAAAACAAAAACAAAAAAAAAAAAAAAAACAAAAAAAAAAAAAAAAACAAAAAAACAATAATAATCCTCATACGTATATGTTCGTATACGAAACTCATATGGAGAAGGCTTTTTCTTCCAAACCTCTATATGTTTGTTTGTCTGAACCAATAATAATCCTCCTTCGTCCTTCGATTCTAGGTAAGGAATTGGATTACATGTGCATGTCAAGTCAATAAAAGTATTTCACTTCATCAATTTAGAAGGCAAATGACTATTAATTGATAGCTGTTAGTTGATTGTGTTAATTAAAGGGTATTACTAGTTGATAACATTAGTTGAGTATAGAAAGGTATTTGGTAAATTAACTGTTACCTGATAGCTGTACTGTTTGGTATAATTATATTTTCTTTCTCAAAAGTTAATTGAAAAAGTTGTTTTGAGCAGTTTTTTGAATTTTAACATTTTAGAGTTACAAAAATCTAATTAACCAAATGCTTATATTAATTTATTTAACCAAATCAGAAAACTAATAGTGATCAAATAAACTAAAATTAACCTATAGGCCAACTATTTTACCAAACTGGACCAATATGTTTTTAAATCAACAAAAAGAGGGGTGAACTTAGGGTCTAGGAAACTCATCATTCGCTAGCCTCCCAACGGGGATGCCCAAGACATCCTCGTTCATTTGTCTCATAATATTTATTGAGGATAGCAAAGATAACCCCATCTATCTTCCCTGTGGCACGCAAGTTTGGTCATCATGTCCACAACTTGATTACGGGTAACAAGGGGGTAATTTGCCTCTTTTTTTCTTTTTTCAAGTTTAATGGTTTATTAATTTAAAGTTTTCTGGGATTCAATAGACAAATTGCATTGTTCTACCAAAAAATTTGAATACTTATTTCACAATTATTCTTTTAAAAGCAAAATAAATTATTTTAAATAACCTAGCCTCTATAGCGTAATGGTAGTGCATTTACTTTGTAAGCAAAAGGTCGTGAGTTCAATCCTCACTAGGGGCTTTCTACTCACTTATAGTTGTGAGAATTTATCAACTACAAACTAATCTCATTATTATACATGACTAAGGTATAAAAATATTATTATAAAACAATACAATATTACTATATGGACAAATTAATAATTTCAATCCAAATATTAACAAAATTCTAAAATTAATATACAAATTAAAATTCATAATGGAGGTGTCGTTCAAACCATCATCATTAGCTCTTTCTCTCTCTTTCATCGTTAGCTCTTTCTCTCTCTTGACTTCTACCTCACTCAATGGCACAGTACGAACAGGGAAGATTTTACACAACGTAACTATCAATTGATTACTTGTTCTTTTACTATTAACAACGCACTAGCCAATGATCTTGTGGTCTAGTGGCACGCAATGGCTCTCCCAAATGGGAGATCATGGAATAGATAATGCAAAATGCACTACTTAATTGAAATGTTCTCTTAATGGTTAAAATTAAGATATTATCAATTATCATATCAAACACTTACTACTATATAAGAAACGTAGTTAGTAGCAAATATATGACTTATTTTCTTATACTTGTATAAGAGTCAACATCATGTTTAAATAATAAGATATTGTTCTCACCCTCCAAGTTTTTGCCTAATAATCCCTGCCTAGCACTTGTTAATCTCAGCTACACAGCACGTGAACAGTACCAATTGTTAAGTGTTGGGTGGCCAAATGTTTTACTACCTTATCAACTAATCAAATTAATGAGAAAATTACATTTTTGGTCCTACGACTATATGGATCGTGTTAATTTTAGTACTTGACTTTAAAAATTAATAATTTAGTCCTGTAACTATGCAATTTTTAGCACATTTGGTCCATTCGGCCAAATCACCAGCGAAAATTCACCTGAAAAACATTACCCATCTTAAATTATTTATTCATGGAGTAAAATGGTCATTTTACCATTTAAAAATTTTGCAAGACGGCCAATCAAATGAGGCCAAATCAAGTCGACGGAAATCAACGGTGAAGCTTCTCGTCATAGTCATCGCCATGCTCATTCTTGCACAGATTGGTCTTGCTGGATTTGCAGTAGGCGCAGTCGCCACATTCCCCGTTGAAGATCGACACCACCAGGTCTCCGGCCTCTATTTCCGTCATGCCTTCTCCCACGCTTTCAACCACGCTACCCCTCATGTCGTCCAACTTTCAATATATATATATATATATATATATATATATATATATATATATATATATATATATATATATATATATATATATATATATATATATATATATATATATATATATATATATATATATATATATATATATATATATATATATATATATATATATATATATATATATATCACAACAACATTACTAAACGGAATTTACCCAAAGGCTTCTGGCCAAGAATTTGAGGAAAAACACGTCGAGCTTGGTTCTGCAAAACTCAAATAAATTCACTAACTTTGTTTCACACTTTCACAAACTATCCAAGAACAGAACAGAGCATCGATAGTATGTACCTCCCCATTCCAAGCATTGAGATCTGTGTCGCATACTGAAGAGAAAAGGATCTTGATTCGCACCTCCAGCTTCTGAGGCGGATCCACCAGCACATCCTCGATGATCAGGGGCTGGCCAAGACTGTACACCACGACAGCTTTACAGGTAATGATCTTGCCAGCAGTATCAGCCCAAATGGAGAAGCCATGAACAGAGTGGTTATCCAGAATTCCGCAATACAGATTGTTTTTCGAAACTGAAATGAAGCAAAAAGTTTTGAGGATGTTTATTTTTTTTAATGGATTCCAACGGCTATATATGTTTTAAAAGTAGGGAAGACCCTTCTCTGCATGCTGTATGTATAATAAACGTGGCGAAAACATCCCGTGAAACCTCAGACACCATGGCAGCTCCCCTGCAGATGAAGAAAGAGGAACAACAACAAAAGCATTATATTGGGTTTTCGATCTTCTTCAATTTCTCCATCACAAATGATACTCGTGATGAAGAACTCTTGGATTTGTCGAGTTTATTCTTTCCCCCCAGCTTCTGTTTTGAATTCCCAGAAACGCCTTCAAATATCCAGAATCATGGTTGCTTCCTTGTTTCAAACAACCTTAGCCCCAGAATTCTTTGACTTTTTCTTGTTCTTTTTTAGAGCTTCTTGTCTGCTATGCTGCTTCCATGGAGTTTCTTCCCCTCCCCTTCAGGCAGCGAGGTAGTCCGGCGGAGAAGCAGAGTCGGAGTTGGAGTCGCAAACCAATCGTCCAAGAGGGCACTGGTACGCGGAGAAAAAGGAAGAACGCGAAGAAGAATGAAGAAGGAAGCAAATAACTTCCCCCCCTTTTTTTTTTAAGTTAAATTGACCATTTTGCCCACACTTATATTTAATTTAAAATGAGTAACATTTTTTCGCCGAATTTTCGCCGGTGATTTGGCCGGAAGGACCAAATGTGTTAAAAATTGCATAATTACATGACCAAAATTGTTAGTTTTTAAAGTCAAGTACTGAAATCAACACGACCCCTATATTCATAGGACCAAAAGTGTAATTTTCTCTCAAATTAATTTTAGAAAACCTTGCAAACGCACTACCACTATGCTATAAAAGCCTAGCAATTAAAAATAAGGAAAATTGCACTTTTTCCCCCTGAGTTATATACCTATAGCATTTTTTCCCCCTAAATGATTGAAGTGGCTGTTTTTCCCCCTGAAATGTTAATTGGACATATTTACCCTTAAACTAAATATTTAATTTATTTTTTTTCTCCAACAAATTATGACCATAATTTGGTTCAAACTAAACAAACACTATAGCAACTAAACCGAAATATTCCAATTACAATTTAGAATCGAAATTCGATATTTAGAGTTTGTTAAAATCGTGAACCGGAACGGACGGTTCATGTTCCGAATTGAAAAAATAAAATACATTTATTGTTGAATTTAGACTATTTTAAAATAAAAAATACAAATTTAAAATAAAGACGGTTCAAAATCGCGAATCAGATCCGGAACCGCCGGTTCACGATTCAAGATTCAATTTTTTTGATACATAATTTTAATAAATTGACATTTAAATATTGGGTTCTAGATCTGAATTATAACCGTAAACTATTAATTCGATTGCTTTAGTATCCGGTTCAATTCAAACCGAACCGTGGTCATCCCTACGTATACGCAATAATTTGTTAGAGTAGTAAAATAAATAAAATGTTTACTTTAAGGGTATAAATGTCAATTTAATATATCAGGAGGGGGGGGGGGGAGGAAAGCACCACTTTTAGAATAATTGAGGGGGCTAATGTGCTTACCTAAATAATTGAGTGAGAAAAAGTGCTATAAGTATATAACTCAGAGGTAAAAAGTATCATTTTCCCTAAAAATAATTTATCTTACTTTTACTCCTACTAGCTATTCAATCAAAAAAAATATTTAAAAAAAAAAAGGAATTAATAATGTTCAAATTAAATAAGCACTTAAATTAATTTTATATTAGAAAAAAATCATAAAATTTAAAATTAATAAACCATTAAACTTGAAAAAAAAAAAAGTCAATTAACCTCTTTTTTATTGAAATCTAAAAGTGTGAATATTCAATTCTAAAATTGTGAATATAGAGTTCTGCAATTGTGATATAGAGTTATACAATTGTGAATATTGAGTTATGTAATTTTGTATATTGAGATCTAAAATTATGAATATTCAGTTCTAAAATTGTGAATATAGAATTCAAAAATTGTGAATATAGAAGAACGAATTCTGAAGACAAACTACAAAGAAGAAAGTAATTTTTATTTTTTTTTATTTTTAAATTTAGACGGGATTGTTTTGAAGCAAAACGATACCGTTTCGTTTTGGACGAGGTCCGAGTCCACAACATGATTTGCTAAACAGGTTGGCCTGGTCCACGAACAAAAATTATTAGTCAAATTCTGCTTGTAGTATAAAACAGGCTTGCCCTAACCCATCTATCATATTGTAGCAAACGGACGAGTCCAATCTGGCCGAAAAATTATGTTGTGGACTCGTGTCCACAATGCATTGTGGACACGAGTCCAAAACAACGTCATTTTAAGAAAAAACGTGGCCTTTCAGTTAAAAAAAAATTAATTAATTTTGTCTTGCCGTTAACGGCATTAACGGCGTTATTCGTTTGTGGCATTATGAATGTACATTTATGGAATTATGAATATACAGTTATGCAATTATGAATGTACAGTTATGAAATTATGAATGTAAATTATGATATTATGAACACAGAGCTCTGACATTATGAACTTACAATTATGAACATATAATGATAAAATTATGAACATACAGCTCTAAAATTGTGAACATAGAGTTTCGAAAATTATGAATTTACAGTTATTGAATTATGAATGTACAGTTACGGAATTATGAATGTACAGTTATGCAATTATGAATGTACAGTTATACAATTATGAACACAGAGCTTTGACATTATAAACTTACAATTATGAACATATAGTAATAAAATTATGAACATATACTCTTATAACAAAGTAGTCTGAATTTTTTTATTTTTATTAAAAAAAAAAAAAAAAAAAAAAAGTGGAAGAGAACAGTGCCACTAATGACACCGTTACCGTGTCCAGCATGCATGTTCCTAGCATAACAGTTGGCCGAAATGCGCCTAGTTTGTATTGAACTTTTTGAGTTACAAGTTCAACTCTCAACAGTGACTTATGATCTTTTTTTTATTATTATTATTTGATTTACCCAATACACAACTTGGTGCGTCTTTCCACATTATTTTATCTCAAAATGAAAAAGAAAAAGAAGATGACAAATTTTGATGTTTTATTTAATACTATCATTCGTCCTGCATGTAAGCCTTTTCCTTGCCTTAAAACCTTAAATAATACAGCGTAATCCTCTTGTAGCCAATGCCATCGTCCTCAAAATTAAACACATCCAATATGAGAAAAAGGGTGTGCAGTTTGGTTGGCGCAGCCATTTTCATGGTTTCTACATATGCATGTTTCTTGTCGGAAGCAC